TATTTAAACCACAACGAGCAGCACGCAGACGCAGGGGCATGACTGTTGCCAACAACAAAAACCTCGCACACACATACACACAGAGTAACCTGCCGCCTCCAGTTTCCCACATCACACAGGGAGTCTTCATGGATGAGAAGCAGACTTTATACCTGGCTATTGGTCTCAGTCTGGAATGTTCCAGAAAAAAATCCCTTTTTCCTGAGGTGGCTATTCGAAGCCCTCCGTTCCAAGGCCCCTTTCTAAACAGCCTTTGACATGCAACCGATGAGTTTAGTGATTTTTCAGCTTTACGGGGCTGATGACGGGAAAGTGCCCAGCTTTTAGTAGAAACCACCCTTGGGACGTTGAGTCCAGATCTTTTCTTGGCCAGTGCTGTGTGGTCTCATCCTGTCTTCCGTGCTGGGCGGTCACCAGGGGGAACCGTGGAGACCGTGCAAGGCGCCATGTTGCTCAGCTACAATGGTCAGTAGATTAGGCGGATTCAGTGCATTTCTGACTTGTGATGTTTTGAACTCAGAGTGCTTGTTGGGGATGTAACCTCACCAGAAGTCAAAAAAGAGCCCATGTGCACACCCCCTGGTCACATGCGTGCCTAAAAGCGGTGGGTGAAAGAAACAGCAACAGGGGGTTGCTCTGAGGCAGAGAGCCACCCCTCCTGTTGCAGCTTTTTCTCTCCCCTGAGTTCTTTAGAAATGTTACAGCTCTTTTATGTTAACAACCGCATCTCTCCACCAAGTTCTTTGTCTTGCTACCACAAAGAATAAGGCTCACAGACAAGAATGAGCAAAGTGAAGGGAGTTTATTGATCTTTGGAGAAAGCTCCTGGCAACAGGGAGGGGGGTCCCAAAAGGTGCCTGTGGGGTTTTTTTTAATATATGCTTTCTAAATGGGAAACTTTCCCTGATTGTTGGCTATGTATGTTAACAAGGTGAAAACCATTAGCACTGGCTATGAGCCCCTCAGGAAGCAGCTGCCGGAACCTCCTGTTTTGTGTAGACACTCAGGTCCGCACCATTGCAAGCGGTTTTGCACTGGGAAGTTGGAAGGGTGCTCAGGTCCCCAGTGGTCAGCCTCGTTCAGGGATTGCATTATTCTTCCTCACGTTCCCCTCGTCCTTCTGTTTTAAGACTGTCTCCTGTCTCTGTCGCTACAGGCCACTCATCCAAGCCTGAGCAGTCAACTCCAGGTCAACAGCTGCTAACGGAGAAGTTGAGGAGGGGAGGTGTGCTCTGTCAGTGAGCGCCAGGGGCACAGAGGGAGGGCAGCTCTGCAGCAGGTGTAAGACAGGGTGATGACTCCTGGGGCAGGAGCACCACAGCCCCTCATTTCTTGAGGACCCGCCGTGTGCTGCAGGGAAGACCTGGCCCCTGCCTCAAACAGTGTCCAGGGAAGACATGAGAACAGATCTTTTCTTTAGCGCCAGCAGAGAGGTGCCCGGGGGCTGTGTCCCCTGCTGTGTCCCCAGCTCCCAGCCCAGGCTGACGTCTTGTAGAAGCGCAATACAGAGGCCCTGAGTGTGTACATAAAGGAGCTACGTGCAGTGAGAGCCCAAAGGAGGCATCAGCGGATCGACTTGTAATGTGTTTTCCTGAGAGAGGCTGAAGCAGAACCCCCCGAGACGGGCTGGCCCGTGCACCCTGGGCACACGCCGGGAGGGAGGAGGCAGCTCGGCTCCCTCAGGGAAACACGAGGAGGCCGCTGGGTTTGTGTCACGGGCTGCGCTGCCTGAAAGGAGTGCCAGGCTCACAGGTGCCTGTGTTTTCCTCCCCACACCTGCTGACTCCAAAGGCAAGAACCCCTCGGCTCTCTGTGGGTCCTGTACCGCCCTTGGGACAGAATGTTGCTGCCAGAAAATCATTTATAAACAGTTCTCCCGTCCACTTGTCATATAATGGCGCCCTGGTAGCTGGGCCCCGGTCTAGATCTTCTGATGCTTCCGTTCCTTTATGTTAAGTGTTCTCCAAATATGTGGTCTCAGGAATTTCGATTTAATTCTTAAGCTTCAGTTTATCATCTCTTCATTGCGAGCCTTCAGCTCACTTGGTATCCAAGGTTTAAGCTTGCAAAAAAATATATGATTTGGGACTGCAAGATCCAGAGCATTGGTCTTAAGGATTGCCAGCAAACACTTTATTTGAGCCATTGCCACTCAGATCTGGCTTTCTAAGTAGCTCCAGCGTGTGTCATTTCTGTGTTTTGTCATTTCTGTGTTTTAAAACATCGCAATCCAGCTGCCAAACTCTTCTGATTAAGTTACTGTGAATGTTTGATTGGGTTAATGCTTCTTAGACCCACAGCTGCCCTTCTGGTTTTCCATTCCTGTTTACCAAAGCTAGCTAGATACAGATTTCTCAGCTGAGATAGGACTACTAAGGCACCAAGTCATTACTAATTTAGGCCTCCATGCCACCCGGTTGGCCCCTGTAGAGATCTGACATGATCTTTGATGTCTTCAAAGCCACCTATTCCACCACTCACTGCCTAGGGGAGTTCACAGCCATTGCTCTGTCTCCTCCTTAGTACAGAATGGTTGAGAGCCCCCCCACCCCCGCCGTGCACAAAGGTACTTCCAAAAGTTCAAGGGAAAAATAGAGTTAAAGACTGTTGATTTTGTTGCAAAAAAAAAATTTTGAAATTCTTGCATATCACAGGTCTTCAAAAAGTTAATGGAAAATGCATCTTACGCGAGAATTTTAAAAATTTTTGCACCAAAATAAACTTTGAAATACCCACATACATTCTTTGGAGCTCCGAGCCTGTCTGGATGTCTGTCGGCCTTAGCACCCTTTGCTAGGGCAGCCATCTGGGGTGCCAGGCAGATAGGGCACCTGCCAAGAGAGGGGTCCTGCCTGGCACAGCCATGCGCATCCCTAGGATGGCCCCACAGCTTCCCCAGGCAGAAGGGCTGGGGCTCAGGAAGGGGCAAAGTAACAAGGCTGCCCCGTTCGATTGCCCCTTCCCTGCCCTCGCTGCCCGCCCTGTCCCTGGAAAACAGAAGCTGACCTGTGGCAGCACAAAACGTTCTCCCTACTGCTGGGCTCTCTGTTTCCACAAATACCGAAGCTCTGGACTACAGGGCTGCCTTTGATGTTCAGACTTCAGACAGCCTCTGAGAGACTGGGGTGGGGGGTGGGGCCATAGCTATTGCAACACCTGACTCCTGACTTGAGTGAGAGCCGTCCTGCAGGGGGCTGGGTTGGGGTGGGGGGCAGCATTCCAGAGAAATCCGCATGAGGGTGCTCCGGGTGCCTGGGTGTGTGTCCCGCCCCCTGAGCCGAGCTGTGTCCCCACAGTTGAGCTCTTTATCATGGAAAACGCCTGTGATGACAAAACTCCCCATGGGTTTCCACGGCTTCTTGCACCAGAGTAAACATCTTTTCATTGCGTTTTTCCACGAACTCTCTGAAGTACCCTCCTGTTTGCATGCTTGGAGAGCGTGGTGAGTGCGTGTGCTGGGAGTGTTTAGGGCCCCTGGAGCAGGGTCTGGAGTTGTCAGGTGCGTGGATCGCAGGGCAATCTCGGTGGACTGCAGCTTCTGGCTCGGGAGTCGGAGGAGCTGTGCACCTGCTTCTCAGGTCGCCGCTGCTGCACGGACCACACTTGGAGCCGCGGACACTGGAGTAGGGATTCCCCGGCTCGCCTGCGGAGTCACATACCCGGGGAGCTTCACGTACAACCCCTAATGCCAGACCGTACCCCACCCCACGTAATGCAAGCAGAATCTCCGAGGGCGGGAGCGAGATGCCAATCCTTTGGCAGGCTCCCTGCGTAAGTAATTGGTGACTCCCGCCCAGGCTGAGTTTGGCAGCCTCTGTGGCTTAGGGGACTAATTCCTGCCACCCTGGAAGGTGACCAGAAGTGTGTTGCAACTGCCGCCACCGTCTGCCAGCAGAATCCTGCGGCTGTGTGTGAACTGGAAGGAGCAGTTCCCATGAATGCCGCCGGCCCTGGAGCTCCCAGCACAGTCCAGCTCCCTGGGCCCACTGGCAGCCAGTCTCAGCCGAAGCCCTCACAGAGGTCCTGGGCACACGCTGTCCCCCTGAGGCCTCTCACTCTTGATGGGGGAGCTAGCGGCCCGGGTTCTTTTCGGCGAGCCTTAAAGGGCTGTGTGGGGTCCAGGCGAGAATGAGACTGGCAGTCCTGCCTTCCTGTAGAGCAGCAGTTCCCACCCCTGCTGAGCGCTAGGCTAATTCTGACCTAACGCTGGATCGGAGGCAGGGTCCACACATTACAGGAGGTTTAAACACTCCCCAGATGATTCCATTGTGAAATCAGAATCTGCTCCCAAAAACGAAACCTAAAAAAAATAGATTTGTATTTTCTTTCACATTTGGAGAACTGGTTCTGAAAAATAAAATTGAAGGTGCTATTGAGATGATAAATAAATCATGGGAGTGATTTAAGGACTTTTTAAAACATATATGTACTTCTAAAACTCTACGTTCCTCCCCCCACCCGATCGCCATCCCTAGTGTTTTTTGAGGAGGCCAGCAGGCAAGCCTGAGCTGGTTTGAGGTGCATCCCTGTGTCCCCAGAAGGGAAGTGGATGAAGGCACGGTGCTCCCAAGGGCAAGGCTGGCTGCTGTACCATTTGCAACCCAACCCCCGGGTCTCTACAACAGGAGTTTGGTGCTCGTGGAATTGTAGGGGCTGAAGAGGGCTCAGAGCAGCCCCAGTCTGTGCTATCATCTGGGGGCCCCCAGCTGTGGGATATCTCCCCGGGCACCAGGGAGGGAGAGAATGCACAGTGCCCAGCCTCAAGCTGCGCAGGGCCGTGTAGCCTGCACCCCATTGGTTGGGGCTCAGTCACCTGCTCAGAGGAGTGAGGCGCCCGCCAGTCCCAGCGGAGCTCACTGAGGCACAGGGGAGCCCCAGCGAGGTGGGACAGACATGGTGGCAGGTCCCGGATGTCCTCCTGGACACCAGCAGAGGGCGGTGCTCTGGGTTGGAAGCGGTCATCTAAGGCACATGTGCCCTTTCTCTTCTTTTTCCCACAGATATTGCAAACGGCACCAGTTCAGGGGGGTACCGCCCGCCTCCCAGAACCAAAGAAGTCATCGTCAATGGCCAGACTGTGAAACTTAAGTATTGTTTCACCTGCAAGATCTTCCGGCCCCCTCGCGCCTCTCACTGTAGCCTTTGTGATAACTGCGTAGGTGAGTAGCTGCCCCAGGTGGGACGGGCCGCCTAGGGGTGGGCTTTGGGTGAAGGTGTGGCGTGTGCGTCTCTGTAATACCTGGGTGTGGTTAGGATTTGCACGTGTGGCCTGCTACATTCCCCAGGCCTGCAGTTGCCAGCTGTCTGCCTTGTTCCGTCCTGCGATGCCCTAGCCTTCTCCTCCCCCTGCACAGGCGCCAAAGCCGGGCTCTCTTGTTCCCCTAGGACAGCATGATCAGCAGGCATTTGGAATAAAACCTCTGCACCACAAACCCCCATGCCGGGCAGCCAGCTGGCCACGCACTTAACAGGACACGCTGTGTACAGTTCCCTTCTCCCGCATCTTCAGAGGGTCTTGGGGGGAGAGGCAGGAGGCTGTGCACCCTGGGGAGAGGCCAGAGGCGGAGGCCAGGAGTCTAGGGTTAGGATCGTCCCATCTTCCCAGAGCACGGAGGCCTCAGCTCTATCCACCAGCTTGCCCCAGCACCCAGGAGGGAACAGGCAGGGGTGGCGGGAGAGGCCACAGGTACTGACTTGTTAGAATCAGCCTGGCCAGTGACCCAGCTCAGGATTTCTATACAGACAGGGGCCCCAGCCCTGGGAACGCAGAGCTGTGCCCACCCCACATGCCCTCTTCCTCCCTAGACTGGAGCTCCTTAGAGGTGCGGTTGGCCAGGGGGCAGCAGAGGACTAGCCAGACAGGTGATGGCATTGGCCCATGGAAGCCCCACTTCCCAGCCCATGGCCTGCTTCCGGTGGGGTGGCCAAGGATAGTCCCAGGGGAGCACCTGTGCGAATCGGCAGCTACCACACGCCGGGACAACAGGGGAGCAGCTCGGGACAACCCCATTTCCCTCGGTGACCCAGGACCGATCTGCAGTGCTCCTGAGTCCCAGAGTCTGTGGTCTCCGGGCCTCTTGAGTAGAAGGCAGCTTCAGACCGAGGCCGCCTCCTCCGACCCGTCGTGAATTCATTTTGTCTGCATGCGAACCATTTACAGTTCAGTGCAGAGCCCGTGCTTCCCCTCCCAGGCCTCATCTTGGTGTAGGAACTTAGAAAAATGGCTGTGAGCCTCTGCCTCCCAGCAGTACTGCGGGGAATTTGGTTCCGTCCTCACCCTGTAGTCGGGGGTCTATACTGTTGGAGCCCGGGACCCAGCACCGGGCAGCCTGGGTCTGGACGCTAGCTGCGTGACGTAGACAAGCTTCCTAAACTCTCTGTGCCTCCGTGTTTGTCCTCTCAAGAATGGGGAGAACATAGCTGCCTCATGGGGTGGTTGAGAGGTTAAAGGGGGTAGCACACAGAAAACACTCAGAGCAGCACCTGGTGTTAAGCACACACGCTGGCGTCGGTGACTCCAGTGACGCTGCGGCTGCTGCTTCCTTGGGGGTCCTGGCTGGACCTGACCTGTTGTCGCTCTCTGCAGAGGAGCTGACCAGTGCTGCCCCTAGCCCTCCACGTGGGGGCGTGTCAGAGTTTCCACCAGGACACGTGACAACCTGTGCTCAATCTCTGTGATGCTTCCCCGGGGACAGCAGCCTCAGGGACCAACCCCCACTGCGGGGATACTTGAAGCCAGAGCCGCGCGGTGGCTTACCTGTCTCAGGGGAGCCTTTACAGGGGTTGGCGAGACCCTTCCTGGGGTTGTCACTTCTACCTGGGGCCTACCCTACGATGCAATCACAGGTAACTCACGCCTGTTCGTGTAAACGCGCCTGTTGTGGGTGCCTCCTCCTGCATGCTTCTCCTAGCGCCTTATTCTAGTCTGCATTTTGATAGAGAGGGAATTATTTTCTACCAGCCCAAAGCATTTATCATTTATTAACATTTTTACAATTTATAAATTTTACTTATCATTTATACAAGTTTGTCAACCACCTCCGGACACTCCCGGGTTTCTACTCCCTCATTTTCACCAGTTGGTCTCCACCTCTGCTTCCTGTCTCCAGGTAGATTCCTCATCATGAAAAGCCTTTCTGCCCCATCTCGTAGCCTTACCGTTCTAAATTCCCTTTGGGTTATCTTCAGACACTTTCTAAAAGCTCATAGAACCACTCAGACGTGCCCCTTCCCTTGCCCGTGGGCATACGTGTCCCACCAGGAAGCCTGGTGCATTCAATGTGCAGCCCTCTTGCCAGAGTTCCATACGCTTCCCCCAGCTGCCGGTGTGCTTCCGTCATGGTGTCACCGTCCAAGAGCACCCTCTCCGAGAGGACGCTATGAAATAAGAGCCCCCAGGAGCCAAGTTGGAGTCTTCCCGAGAAATCGCGGCCACCCCAGCAGGCCGGCAGCGTCCTCTAAGTGAGAAACCCCGAACAGCAGAGGGAGGACAAAAGGAGGAGAGATGGGAGAGACTGGGGTGGGGTGCAAAGGAGGATGCCAGCCACGGAGCATTCAACCAGCAGTGGCCTCTAGGTGTCATTCAAAGATCCTAGAGCTGGAGCTTGGGCAGCTGTTAACAGAGCCCAGTTCCATCCAGGACGGGTAAGGTTCAGCTGTCTCATAATTAGCCGGAGAACCAAAGTTTTGTAGGGGTCTGAATGACTGCAGATTTTTTCTGCGGACTGCCTTAGTGTGACCACCGAGCAGACCAGAGGACTGGACCTTCCGCGTTTGGGAAGGCAGAGTGGAGAGCAGGTGCCACCCACTGAGAGGTCTAATTGCAGGGTTTGCTGCTGGTTCATTTGTAGATGGAAAATCTTTACCGAGAGAATTCTTCCTGTCGCCGAGGGAAGGCCCCGTGACACACGGAGAGCCAAGGACCCATTCCGTGGCTTCCCCTTGCTGGTGGTGGCTGAGCGTGGCTGGTGCTTGCCAGGCGTAATCTACAAACGCTGATTTGTGCTGGGAGGAAGAGCCGCTCAGCAGTGTTTTCTTTGTCAGGGAGTTTGAGACGAGAGCCGGGGCAGGCACTCTGCGTGTCCAGTTGAGGACAGAGGACAGCGCCTCTGTGGCGTGCGAGCTGAGGCCGAAACAGAACTGGCTGGCAGGGCTCGGGGTTAGGGCCTGGCTCTACAGGCACGCCTCCCCAGGGCTGGCTCCTGGTCTGTCCTTGAATGAGCCTGGGACCTGGCTGAGTTGTCCAGACTCTCTCAATGCCGTGTCTGTAACGTGGGGTGATCCCAATGCTACCGGGCAGGTTACTTTTATGGACAAAGTGAGACTGTGCCCCCAGAAGCACCAGCTCGGAGAGCGCACACTTGGGTCAGTGAGCGCTTGCTGTTGGAATCCTCTTACTGGAACCAGGGAAACCATGCTCTTAGCCCTTAGTGCTCTAGACCCCAGTTAAAGCAAAGCGCATCTTCCCGCAACAGGAAGCCTTGCTTCTGTCACGTGGGAGGATTTAGATGATTTGCAGTAAGAAAAGTAACACGAATCTCTTTTATCTCCATGTCTGTCTCTCTACCTTCCTGTCTCTAGTTCTCTCTCAGTGTTGCCATCGGGTAGCTTCTCTGCATTTAAAACAGGGGATGTTGGGTTGTTTCGTCCAGGCCATCTCTGGGTTGTAAGGTATTTCAGACAAGCAACACCTGGGTCAGGAGCCCCCTTCCCAGAGCCTCGCACCCCTCAGCTCAGGAGAGGGAAGTGTAACTGCAGGAGCGGGCGGCTGGCGCGTGGCCCTTGTTCTAAAGCCCCAGGCGTGCGCCCTGTACCTTTCCCTGACCAGGTGGACCCCGTGGGAGGAGCCTGTCCTTTGGTGGACCCTGGTCCAGTCTTAGACTAGCTAGCAGCTTTCAGGGGGGAATTGGGTGTTTTTAACATAACATAAACCTGGAATAAAAACCAGGACTCACTTGCAATTGATTTAATCCCATGCTGTGGCCAAACTCATAAGGAAGTTCACTAAGCACTGAGGTGAAGCACGGCAAGGGTTTGCAGACAGGCTCTGTGCAAGCCCAGCACCAGGATGGGCAGCTCTGCCCGGGGCTGCCTTAGGGCTCCTGGAGGCCAAGCTGCCTGGTTCCACACCTGCTGTGCTGTCTGGGCAAGAGGACCCTCTCTGCACCTGCAGTGCTGCCCCTGGAGGTGCCACAGGACAAAGGGCAGTGCACATGCAGCGCGTAGGCTGTGCCAGCCCCTGGGGAGCACCGGGCAGCACCTGCCTCTCTCACACACAGCGAGTGAGTTTGTGTAGAGTTCTCCCACCCTCTTTTACATCCCTGTGGATCCCTTTCCTGTCCCCTCCTCTCCCTCGCTGGGTCTTTCGCTCCCAGGCCCTTGCCCTCCGTCCACCACACACACCCCCTCCTGTCCCCACATCTCCTCTGGGCGCTCTCACTGCTCCCCCCTGCCGTGAATGCAGACTGCTGGGACGTGGGGTGTGCGCCGCTCGGCGCCCCCGCCCTGGGAGCCCAGTCACTGCTTCACCACGGTACCCAACTGTAAGAGGTTGGCCTTGTAGCTGCATCCCGCTGTGGGGGAGAACTCTGGAGTTTCTTCGCAACTGTTGGAGTGTGGGGAAAGGGCTCCTACTTCCTCATCGGACAGCACTGCACTTGAGGGCAGTGGAGGCAGCCGGCGTTGTGTCGTCCTTGGAACCAAAGCGAACGGGGTTTTACTGGTGCTCCTGGCTTCCGGTGTCTTTACGTTTCACCGACATTTAACGAGCACCCGAGTCAGGCAGTGTGATAGTAGCTAGATGCATCAAAATGAAGGCCTTCGGCAAGGATCATTATCAAGAGCAGACCAAGGACAGTCAAGGCAGAAGGCATTTATCATATTGCGTAGGCCACAGAGAGTGGTTTTATGTTGGTAAGGAGCACAATAAAAAGTCTTCAGGGCCCGTGCTGTGGCATAGCAGTTTGGATCCCAACTGCTCCACTCTTTTTAAAGATTTATTTTTATTTATTTGAAAGAGAGTTACAGAGAGAGGTAATGAGAGAGGTCTTCCATCCACTGGTTTGCTCCCCAGATGGCTACAATGACTGGAGCTGAGCCAATCCAAAGCCAGGAACCAGGAGCTTCTTCTGGGTCTCCACATGGGTGCAGGGGCCCAAGG